GTTTGACTTATGAGAGACCGATATTTTCTGTCTTCCATCTTTCGGAAATTTGGTTTGACGAATGAGAGACCTATATTTTCTATCTTTAGTTGTCTGAGATTTGGTTTGACGAATGAGAGACCTATATTTTCTATCTTCCATCTTTCGGAAATTTGGTTTGACGAATGAGAGACCTATATTTTCTGTCTTCCATCTTTCGGAGATTTGGTTTGACGAATGAGAGACCTATATTTTCTATCTTTAGTAGTCTGAGATTTGGTTTGACTTATGAGAGACCGATATTTTCTGTCTTCCATCTTTCGGAAATTTGGTTTGACGAATGAGAGACCTATATTTTCTATCTTTAGTTGTCTGAGATTTGGTTTGACGAATGAGAGACCTATATTTTCTATCTTTAGTAGTCTGAGATTTGGTTTGACCAATGAGAGACCTATATTTTCTATCTTTAGTAGTCTGAGATTTGGTTTGACCAATGAGAGACCTATATTTTCTATCTTTAGAAGTCTGAGATTTGGTTTGAGAATGAGAGACCTATATTTTCTATCTTTAGTTGTCTGAGATTTGGTTTGACCAATGAGAGACCTATATTGTCTATCTTTAGTTGTCGGAGATTTGGTTTGACCAATGAGAGACCTATATTTTCTATCTTTAGTTGTCTGAGATTTGGTTTGACCAATGAGAGACCTATATTTTCTATCTTTAGTTGTCGGAGATTTGGTTTGACCAATGAGAGACCTATATTTTCTATCTTACGTTGTCTGAGATTTGGTTTGACCAATGAGAGACCTATATTTTCTATCTTTAGTAGTCTGAGATTTGGTTTGACCAATGAGAGACCTATATTTTCTATCTTTAGTAGTCTGAGATTTGGTTTGACCAATGAGAGACCTATATTTTTGTCTTATAGCTGTTTGAGATTTGTTTTGACCAATGAGAGAAAGATATTTTCTGTCTTAGTAGTCTGAGATTTGGTTTGACCAATAAGAGGCCTATATTTTCTATCTTTAGTTGTCTGAGATTTGGTTTGACGTACGAGAGACTGATATTTTCTGTCTTCTATCTGTCTGAGATTTGGCTGGATGATGTAATTTACGAAGGGTTGTAAAAAGCTGATAACAGCATCAGAAGATTGTAACGAATCCATGACTAGAATCTTGGATGAAATCTTGAGAGATGGACATTGCTAACTGCCAGTAGGAAATATTTGTGTGGAATTTTTATGTGATAATATTCCATGTTTGCAATCATTAGAATAAGTATAGAATCGAAAATTGTTGAAATTGTTACATCATGTTAAGAAAATATACTTTTCTCTTTTTTTCAGCCATAGCCAGAGACTTTGTCCGACGTAGTTTTCGCAGGATATCAGGTCGTAGAACACGTCAGAACAAGGATTCAGCTTCCAAGGACACAGACAAAGATAACAAAAAAATCATTTCCTCTGAACATATCTCATTTGAATATGATAATTCTGGATTCAGAGACGGTGATATAGATGATGGGTTTGGTGATGGGGATAGTTCAAAACGAGGTTACAGTAGACAGGATTCAGAACACATTGACCTGACTCCTGAAGATCAGTCGGTTATTTCGGGAGAATCTGTCAGAACTAAAACCCCTCCAAACATTGTTGGATATATAAAGTACCTAGACCCCCGTATCACTGGTAGATCTCACAGTACGAGTCCCAGACTAGATACAGAACACCCATATACAGAGAGTAGTCAGGATTCCAATACAAGTGGCTCCCTCTATCAGGAAATGAACCCAGGTCTTACACCTGACTATGGACCCGCTTATCAACCAGATAATCCTACCCACAATGATGGTAATTCTATTCAACTAAAGCCAAATGGTGCACAGCGTTCAGAGCCCAAACAATCCAAGACAGCACCACGCAGTAATCATCAAAATGATAAACCTCCATCTTATGATCGCTATATTGAAGATATCCAACAAAGATCTGATGATAAATATAGACCAAATGTTCAAACTAGTGATCGAAGCAAACCTGACATTATACCAAAGACACCCAGTAACTCTGATCCACGCTCTAAAGACCGTTACAATCCAGACAGACAGCCAGTTGTAAGGTACACACCACAGTCTCGATCTGACGATCGCTACAATACGGACACCCATTCACGGCCAGATGATAGGTATAACACAGACATTCAGCCTCACACCAATCCTGAAATACAGCCTCGATCTGATGATAGGTATAATAACCGACGTCCAGTAAAGTTAGACTTTAACGCTGATGGCAGGAACAGACATCCAGAGAGACGTACACCGACAAGAGAGGATCACCCACAACCAGGGTATTCTCAGCGGAATCCGACCTCTCCTGGGTATTCCCCAGGAAATCCGACCTCTCCTGGGTATTCTCAGCGGAATCCAACCTCTCCTGGGTATTCTCAAAGGAATCCCTCCTCCCCTGGGTATTCCCTTGGAAATCCCATCCCGGGGTATGACCGATCTTTTGCCCAGCAGACAAGGTCACCTTCACAAGGATCTCCACCTCGGGACAAGGTGATGCTGGAGGGTGAAGAACCAGTCCGTGAAATCAACATTTAGTACAGAATAAAATTCCTGCCAGAAGGTTATTTATCAACTATCAGGTCTCAAGTGGGAGCTACTCAAACTCTGACGTCATTATTGCTCATTTCAAAATATTGGCAGAAATGGTCGTGATTCTATCAATCTTTCCATACTATAAATATCTACCTGATAACAATAATTCTTTTATAAACACAGATTGGACAGATTTTTGGAGTAGAGTTATTCAGCTGCTTTACATCCATGGATCAGATTAGGCAGGTGTACAAAGATTTCTGTTAGATATGCTACAGGATTTTGTATTACTGTTTGATACTGTCTAAAAGTAATCATGGTTCTTCTTTATTTTTCAAAGTACTTTCCTGAAACATTTATGGTTTGATCAATGAATTCCATATAAAGAACAAAGCATTTCAGTTTCTAGATCAGAATTTGAAACACATATGAATACAGGACTGGGTGAATTTACTGGGGCTATACTCCTACAAGATCGTGAGGTGTTTCCATGGTTACTACCCTTCATTTACCCTAGAATGACCTTAGGGCAGGGGAGGCAGTTTACTTGGGTACTATTCCAGAATGACCTTGAGGAAGAAAGTTGCTTACTCCCCTGAAAGACCATGGAGATGGGAGGAGTGAAGTCCCTTGGCTACAACCTCTGGATGACCTTGACAATTGATCTTGTTTGGTATGATGACATATTTATAGAGAAAGTGGTTGCCAGAATTTGTTTGTCCAAATCTGATCAAATATTGAAAAGATAACAATGTAATTCAGACGAGGGAAAAGACGTAATAAAAATGTTAGGATAACACTGATAATTTTGAGATTCATAAAGAACCAATCTAGCACAATGATGAACTAGGAAGTCATGAATTGTAGGATATTAACTGGTGTTTGTATCATTATTATATATATCAGAGATATCTATCCGTCCAGGAAGATGATTATAGGTAAGGTAGATACATGTAGAACATTTTTGATGAAGATGCAGTTATTGTCAGAATTTGTGTGATGCGGCTTCAGCAGGTAACACTATCCATATTAATGTAGTTAATTAGGTGCTATCTAATTTTAGTGTGTTACTTCCACTGTGGAAAGCTCTAAAATAAGATTACTACTAAAATAAGTATTTTTACAGTAAATTATAGAATTTCTCTACAGTTTTTCTGTCTACTGGCATGGCGACAAGTCGTGTTCCACGGGGGAATCACTATTGGCTGTGAACTTGTAATAAGTTGGTATAAAGAGAACATTTGGAGTTTGAGATTCAACACAAAGTGCTGTGGGCTGTATGTATGTAAGGATTGGTCTGTATTTATAATATACAGCTTTAATTACTGCTTATTTGTAAACTAGTTTATGTTAAAGTGACTGAGTAGTCCCTAATTTTGTAGATTTTTTACTTACAATATTTTCATTTGATTGTCAGTTATATGATGTTGTTTTTCATATGATATCAAAATAATGTTAATCACAAACTGCAAAAAGGTTATGTTACTCATACAAGAGGACAGATTACCGGCCTACCGGGTATTTAAAATAGCACTGTTTAGAACAAACCAGTGTGAAATACAGTATGTGTTATAGTGTTTCTGGAGGAGGGGGCTAGTGTATAACATTGCAACAGCCCCTCCTCCACAAACATTGTTACATGCCCTTATGATAAAGAAATATCATGCTTGTTAAAACAACCATACTGGGAACACTTAACAATGTTTTCTTCAGAAATGACTTTGTTTTGAAGATTTCATGTTCTGCTCGAGTTGATCCTTAATATTTATCGGTAGTTTTTTACTTTGTACTTCATTGTCTTTATCTTCCTTTCATCAGGAAATTTCATTGTACACAAGTACTTTCTTTGAGAATTTATTAAGGTATTAGTTCTGACTAAGGCGATAATTTTAGACAAGTTTTTTCCATAGCATGTTATTCATAGAGATAAAAATATTTGGTGTATACATGTTGGAAGTATTTATTCAAAGACTGATGCCTTTACTCAAGGGACATAATTTTGTTACAAAGATTGTTGTAAAAGTCTGTGTATACAAATTAGTAGCATAGAAAGTATAGAGAATTTGTTTATTCCTATTCTCAGAGCGTTTTTGATCCGCATAAACAAGTGCTTTATTGTAATCTGGAATGCATTTATCATACACAAGAAATATTTAATAGGACGTTTTCTTGCCAGTTGTGTTTTTATATTTAAGGAAATTGTTGGATGAATATGCATCGGTTTTTGAAACCAAATATCAAGATATTATACTTATCATACCTATTTGTAAATTTTGATATACGAAAAGATTTTTGTAAGGAAATTTCAAGGTTATTTTTGAAAATTTACTTGATAACCTCCCTTTATTTACTTTTTGGGTTTCATTGATCATGGACTGTTTGAACCGATCAAAGTTGACCTGTGTGAGGTTATTTATAGTCAGAGAAAGATGTGATCAAATGTTGATATGGATGTTAATTGATCAAATTGATTACAATGTATATAGTTTGCCTCAGATCAAAATTTGTCCAATCAGAACCATCGAATAATATTTAATTGAAAATTGGATAGATACTGTTTCTCTGATACATAATTTTTGAAATTTTAAACATACGAAACCTTTGTTACATACGAAGAACCGAATATCATTGTTAATGGGACCCGATTGGTATAGTGTGGTGTCATGTGACCTATATTGTTTTAAAATTGTTAAGTCATATTGTTGATTTTAGGAATTAGCAACGAAGAATAAATCTCATAACATTCCGTCATTTGCCGGAGGTTTTTATCACCAACATTTTATATCAGTGTGAATGAATGTTTGAGAGCTTTTTTTATTAATGCAAGACTATGCAGAAATCAAAGGATTGTGATATATCCAAATGGAATATTACCTGGCATATTTTATCATATCCCATATAATATGGTTTCTTTAAACGAAATTTACAACCTGTTTTTACATCTATCAATCACAAACCAGATAAAACAATTTAAATGCAAATTTCTCCTACAAGTAAGAAAGTTGAGAAGAAGAATCTATACACAATATAAATAAGTTGTATTTTTATATTTAGTGTTAATTGGTAGGCTTGTAATAGATTCATATTTATTTCAAATTAAAGTACTTCGTTTATTTACTTGGCGATCAGCATCATATAAAAAAGAGTTTGAGAATTGTAAAATCATAATATTTTCAAAATGAAAATCTTGAAGAAACTTATCTGAAGTAGACTTTGTTCTGTTGTTGCTATGTCATAATGCTGTTTGTTTACTATTTTCGTTTAGGTTTGGTAAACAAGTTTGTTATCCAGCACAAACATTTCCAAGTTTGAAAATTCAGACGTTCGCGGCAGAATGCAACCGATTTGACCGAGGACAAACGTAATGAACTGGTCATGGTGCCATCATTGATACATGAACGTGACGCCATTAATGGCTCAATATCATTGCGCCATTAAATTAATGATTCATTATTATTGCGCCATCAATGATTTATTATCATGGCGGTATTAAATTAATGATTCATAATCATAACCGTCCTTAAATTAATGATTCATTATCATTGCGCCATCAATGATTTATTATCATTGCGCCATTAAATTAATGATTCATAATCATTGCGCCATTTAATTAATGATTCATTATCATTGCGCCATTAATGATTCATTGTAATTGCGCCATTAAATTAATGGTTCGTTATCATTGCGTCCTTAGATTAATGGTTCATTATCATTGCGCCATTAAATTAATGATTCATTATCATTGCGCCATTAATGATTCATTGTCATTGCGCCATTAAATTAATGGTTCGTGATCATTGCGTAATCAGATTAATGGTTCATTATCATTGCGCCATTAGATTAATGATTCATTATCATTGCGCCATTAATGTTTCATTGTTATTGCGACATTAAATTAATGGTTCGTGATCATTGCGTAATCAGATTAATGGTTCATTATCATTGCGCCATTAGATTAATGATTCATTATCATTGCGCCATTAATGTTTCATTGTTATTGCGACATTAAATTAATGGTTCGTTATCATTGCGCCATTAGATTAATGGTTCTATAATTGATTAATTATTACGGCGCCGTAAATGATTATTTAATATGGCGCCAATTAAGGATTAATGAACAAGGCACCATTAACTATTTATTAATAGGTGCCACAGAATGTTAAACTTATAATAATTGATGTATTTGAGATTTAAGGAATATAAAAAAATTATCATCACGTACATATTTGTTTTTCTTATCACTCATTCTGAATAATGAAATTCTCTGGCTAATGTCTTGTGTACGATCCTTAACTCTGAAAATAGGATATATTACTTTTTATATATATTATTTATGTATACAAGGTACTGAAACAAGACATTTATTGCCAACGTTTAAAAAATTAAAGATGAGACTATACTGTTGTATCAGATTTGAAGTGTTAACGTTTTCCTTCATTCGGCTGATATGCTGCGAATTATACAGGATACATGGGTTACGTCCCCTTATCGTTTATCGAGTTGTGAGCACGTGCACGCATAGATAGGATGGACCCATTCATGGACGAGTGATTTTATCAGACTTGGTCAGTATCATTAGCAGCGTAAGCAGGTACTCCGAGACCCCTATAGTCATAGTTGAATAGGTATCTGTTGTAGCCTACATAGAGGCAACACGTCATATCATGTCGGAGCTATTCAGAATTTGAATCAGTGATAGCATAAATATCCATATTTAAAATCACAAACAAAGTAACCACCTTCACTGATCTGATACAAATCAGAGTGTTACAATTCAGATCAATAATATAAATTGAATTTGAAAAAAAACCCATTTTATTATTTTTTATATCAGTGCATTAATCAGTTATTTCGATAGACGTACCAGTAAAACCCAAACTGAGAACCCTGTGGTTTACCTGGAACTACACTCAATGACGATGAGCCAAGTGGTGCATGGGCCGGGGCGGCGTACACAAACGTCTAAAATGTGAGCTTTGGTTAACTGAAAAATATTGTGAGAA